TGGCCTGCAGTGGACAGGCCTGTGGGGCGGCTGGGCTGACCGCTGGCCTGCAGTGGACAGGCCTGTGGGGCGGCTGGGCTGACCGCTGGCCTGCACTGGACAGGCCTGTGGGGCGGCTGGGCTGACCGCTGTGGTCAGCTCTGTGGACACGGTGCAGGTCTCCCTCCCCACCAGCACGCAGCCCGCCGGCCCCTCGAGCCGTGGAGCTTTAAAAGCTTCAGCTTCCGCGAGCGAGCGAGCGAGAGGGCGGGGGGTGTGCGTGTCTGTGTGGGAGAGAGAGGGAGAGGGAGAGGGAGGGAGAGAGAGAGGCAGGAGGAGGCAGCCGCGCACTGCAGCGCTCAGTCCAGCCGAGCGATGGAAGAAGCGCAGCGCAGCGACCCGACCCGGCGAGCGGCTGTCCCAGAGAGCAGCCTCGGGGCTCGGGACATGCGCGCTCCGTGTCGGCTCGGACGGGTCCGGAGAGCCGTCTTCTGGCTGGGGCTGCTGTGGGCACTCGGGCTGGCCCAAGGTAAGCGGCTCGGTTCTGGTTCTGGTCCGGCGTGCCTGTGGCTGGACTGTGCCGAGAGAGAGGCGGGGAGTCACCTTCACTCTGCCGGGTCGCGGTCTTGTTTACTCGAAAGTTGCGCTGCTCTCCGTGACCAGACTGTGCGATCTGAAAGTGCGCGAGTGGGCAGAACCCCCGTGTAGCGGCATTCCCGGGAGAACGGTCCCCTGCCCCCCGAGGGACCGAGTTATTGATCGGCTCTGACCGGTCGAGGGGCGGTCTGGGATCCTCCTCGCCTCGCGTGTTGGGCAACAGCCGGGGGGTCCCCCCGCGCCAGGGCAAGCGCGAGCCGCCCGCGGTCTGTACGGCGCGTGGAGCCCCGTGTCCATGTGCACGCGCGGGCCTGCGGTCTTCACGGACCGCTGTGACTGCGGCGCGAGCCGGCGCTCGGCGGCACGCGGGGAGATGTCTAACACGAGCTGCACAACGTGCATGAAGTGACGCGCGCTGCTATTAGAGGCGTCGATGTTCTTGAAACTCAATTTGAAACGTTTATTCTTATTATTTACACTACCTGTGTAAAACGATCGGTATTCTAAAACCTCCAAGGAAAATAATAGAAAAAAAA